CAGAAACGAGGACGTCAGGGCGGTCACACAGACGGCTCCGATCCAGCTGAAGGCACGAGAGCAGCGACTGCGATGGTATGGGCACGTACTGAGGAGGCCTGAAGACCACCCAATAAGGAAGGCATTGGAATTCGAAGTAGAGGGCAAGCGACCACGAGGAGCCCCAAAGAAAAGATGGAGGGACGTCATCAAGAAGGACCTCACTGAAGTGAAAGCCACGGCAGAAGATGCAGTGGATCGGAACAAGTGGCGACGTCTAACAAGAACAGCGGACGCCTGAGACGGCGCGGGAATCCAAGAATTACTGCCGGTAGATTTTCTGCCCCACAACTCGACCAGAAATCGAACTAACCTGTTCAACCGAGTTACCCGCAGGGTCATTCGTCTGATAAACGCCATCGCTACTGCTAACCAAAGTGAAGTAGTGTGTAACGTGATGCTGAGCATTACGTGCCATTGTAGAAACTGCATCCATCCATGAGTAAATGTTGGACTACTGAAAACACATAAGAAAAGAGTCCAGCTTCTCTCTTCATAAAACCTCGGCATTATTGATATGTTTAAGTTGTAATTTGTTCTGCCAAAGAGGTTGGTAGGTGGAAGACTTTATTATAAATGGCCTGACGTTTCGACAGGATCGTCGTCCTCAGAGGCCTAAACATAGCTCAAGGTTTGGATGTTGTATCCACTAGACCGCCAAACGCCTCGCCTCCCTAGCGTTTTTGGCGAAATCTTAGGAGAACTACCAAGAAAAACCCGAGTGTGAGAAACGAACTTACCAGTCCACCACCACATGAGCGGAACGATGCCAGTTGTCAGTTAGTAAGTGAGACACACTGTGCTGTCCTTATACAGCAAGTATTAGGAACGGCACGTCTCACTGTTCACATCAATAGCTCGCAATGTGGCATAAATGGCAAGAGGTCATTTGTGAATGCTTGACACTCACTTTCGGATTGAACAACCGAAGTGTCTGCGATGGACAGACACTTCGGTTGTTCATCCTAGGATTCCTTGCGGAGATCCAGAATGCCTCTAGCGCTTTTCTAGCTGAAATTTCAGTCTCGAATGCCAGAATTTTGCACTTCACATCAAACATCATCACGTCACATCAACATCATCACGTTTCCGCCGTGCTCTTCGATCAAATGCCTGCCAAGCGGTGTACGCGTATTGCCGCGCCTTTTACCAGCGAGGTGCTCTTTGATACGTATCGCCAGTGTTCCTCATGCGCAGTCCCTATGTAAGTTGCGTTACATGTCTGACATTCAAGTTGGTAGATTACGCCACTTTTGGCGCAATCTCCTCCTAGTCCGTGCGGACATATGACGCAATGCTCTGATATGCACTGCCTGTCATAGAGAGCCTATTTCGCACGAGTTGACGCTTGATATTATTGTTAGGAATACTCACTAACACAACATCGTTGTCTAGCTGTGCTCGAAAAAGGCATCTTTGAACAGCGGCGGTTATTTTATCAGATATGAATGGTATACATAGGGGTTTGCCCTCTGGCTGCTTCGATTTAATAAAGTCTTCCACCCACCAACCTCTTTGCAGACAGAATTACAACTTAAACAAAGAAAAGGTCAACGAACAGGCAACTAGTGTTTATGCACCAGGAAAACTTTTGTTACACGTAGTTCAGCCTGTTCCTGGGAGACTCAAAGGCGAAGGCACAGGCTATGTGTCCATGGGGGCGACTGAGGCCTGTCGTTGTCTTTTGCCTTTTGCCTTAGTTCTCTAAGGGCACGTGCGAAACGGAAGCTAAGCGAACTCTTTGAATCATTTTCCCCCTAGAAAACTTCAGCAAAAAAGCCTATGCAAACATTATAAAAATGAGACACTATATAAAATGCAAAACCAGAATTTACCTCGAGTGTTAGAAGGAAGAAGGTGCAGCCAATGAGGTAAGTAACATGTGTACGGCTTGATTCGCCCACGATAACCAGCGTGATTTGCGATTTTGTCCTGAGGCTAGGCTATGAAAGGGTTGGGATGAAAAGCGAACCTAGAGGCGCAAACTGACCAATGCGACAGTTCGCGTTCCTGATCCACGATGGATTTGGATAATTTTGGCCTTTTAATGATATGCAGACGCGGATACGTGAAGGTCAACCGCGTAGTCGCGCCGCGCGTGCCTTTCCCACCCACTCCACGCAGCTGCAGTCTCGTAGCTGCGTGGAGTGGGTGGGAAAGGCAGTTTCGTTGGGACACTAAAGCGTTTTAGGGGGGGGGAGCTGGGTTTGGCGCGGCCCCAGACTATCCTTTACTAATTGCGGTCGCCTGCCAGCACCAGGCGGTGGAGAACAGAGCGTGTCAATCAGCCCCTCTGAAAGGCCCCAGTGTCCGCAGCAGACAGGACTGAACTTTTGTCCGCTCCCTGAACCTCTCATTTCTTGATAAGAAGCAAAATGAGAAATCTAAGCTCTGAAGCAAACTTACCAGGTAGTTTGCCGTCGTACGACAAAGTGAGAGATGTAGATGAGATAGGTGGCCATAGTGCCGACATCACAAATGGCGACCGCTGTCAGCACACAATTCACTGCCGACTTTCGCATCACCGGTCGCGACAGCACGACGACGTGCACAATATTCGTGAGAATTCCAAATACACACAGACCAACGCACACGTAACCGTGGATTGGGGCATAGAGGCTGAAAAAGGCTGATTTTCTCCTCATACTGGGAATCAGAACACATCATTCGAGGGACGGGTGCAATAGCAAACTAAGATTAGAACCACCCTCCTGCAGAACCTATGGTTGTCAGCCGGAAGGGTCGGACTGGGAGTCGGCTTTTCCTGTGCAGCGTCAGAGACAACTGACCGCAAGCTGGTGCCTCTGTGGATTCTGAGTGTGAGCTCCATTGGTTAGGCACGAACGCATTCGTACCCAACCAACCACCAATACAAGTTCTAGTTCGATGTTTTACCAGTGAAAACGGATTTTCGGGCATAAAAATCTCAAAACCTCGTCTTTTTTGGCTAAACAGTGATGTGGATAATACGAGTTCTGTCTCAAATTGCATCAAGCCTTTTTGGGATCGATTGGTCGGTTCGCGATAGGAATGCTACCAGCAAGTTACCGTACCTGGGGCCGGACACTTTGGAGACGAATCGTTTTCTATTGGCTCTAATGGAAAAGTAAAGTGACCGTAAATTATCGTCAACATGACTTTGAAGCCTTTGTTGCTGGTGTTGCCAAATAACAGGCGGCACCTACGTCACGTTGAAGGATAAGGATGCACAGCGAGGGGGCGTATTTGATCGCTAGAGGGACAAGAATGATCGTATTTGTTATCGGTTGGTGGCTTTTCTCAATTTCCCTCAGTTTTTGCCGTTTCATGTGTGTTGATTCCTCTTACCCTCCGCTCGACGCAGTACACATCGTTGCTTTGAATTCCCCAACAGGGGGAGGGTAGCGTTTGAGCGGAGAGAAATATCTGGTAGTTGATTTTTCTACTTTCAGGGGCATTGTAAGGGGGGATGGGTCGCATTTGCCCGTTGTTGGGAGAGGGTCGTATTTCCCTTCTGACCTCCTGAAAGGGGTTGCTGATTCGTCGCGGTTTTTCCTATTTTATGTGTATTGTACACTCCCGCTCGGCAGCAAAATTTTTGTGTGAAACTAGGAAAAATCTCGGGAAATTCCGGAAAAAGTGAGGGTGGCGAGGGGTCGTATTTCCCTCGCGGTATTCCGTTTCACATCGTGTGCTATTTACGCCCGCCCCCGCCCGATAGCTTGATGAGGAGGGAACCAGGGGGTTGATGAGCCCTTAAAAAAAGGGGGTGTCGTATGGAAATCCTCGCCCTTTGGTCGTATTTGGGCTGAGGAAAAGTGCATTTTCTATGGGATTTTTCTTGTTGTGAGCAGACGTTCTAAGCGTAGGTCCGCACTTTTCCTTTCTGCCTACTGGAGAGAGGTTGCTGACTTCTCGTGGTTTGCTGTTGCTGTTTTGCTGTTTCTTTGTACTGTATACCCCGCTACCGTATCTGAAGCTATGCGGTGAAGTCCTCAGTTCAGAGAATCTGAATGATTCGTAGTTGCTGCAAGGAACTTTGCCTTCTTGTACTGATATTGCCGGAAGTGCATATTTCTTGGAAGTATTTTGTGGGTAAAAATCTTCAGAATCGAATTTTATGATAATTATATGCTGATTGCTTCGACGTACAGGTTTTTGCACCTACATTCATTATCAGGGTTCAAGTCACCAGTGCTAAATTGCATATTCAAAATAGGCACTGAGAAATTGAGGTGATCGGCCTCTGTATCCCTAGGCATTAATGCATGGCACGTCGATGTTATTTTGTCACGCTATTCAAAACCATTGTCACGTCGCAGGCATGAACGTTTTTAGAACATAACCTTCACAAAAAAACATGCGGTCCCTTGCAATAGGCCTGCTGGATTGCTGACTATTAGTACACTCGAGTCAAAATGTATGTCACGGCAATTGTGTTTGAAAGTGCAATGTTTAGAAAATCAAGCACTGGAACTTGAGAAATAAGTATGCCAGCCTCCTACTGGACCTTGCTGATTGGTTCGAGCTCCACACTGTAACGCAAAGTTATGTGCGGAAGTTGTGCTATTATGGGTGTATGTCACGGCGATGTCTTCAGGAACAAGCGCAGTCAGAACTTGGGAAGCGAATACATGGGACCTCTAATACACTTGCTCTTCAAAAAAATACGTGCAAGATGGCGCCTATTCTTGAGACTGAAAAGTTCCGAGCGCTTCGTCCTTCAGAAACAACTCTGAGAATGTTAAGGGTTCAGAATCTTGAGCCACGAAAAAAGCTCGCCCAGCCTCTTCGACTGAACTCGAGCTATTGCTCCGGTTTACATTGTGAGAGCTCAACTGACCATCCAGGGAAGAGGGCCTCCTACATTGGCGACCATAGTGTTTGGTCGCTGGAAGCAAGGGGTTGTGTGTGCCTTTAGGAACCAAATACCTTCGATTGTTGACTTTATTTGATTCTTCCTTTATCAAGTGCTCTACATACCCTTCGGTTCGGATTCAGTTTTTGTGGGAAAATGACGATGATTTTCAAAAAAAATCGGAGAAGTGGTAGGAAGTTGGGAAAATCCGAGATGATGGTATAGTTGAGGAAGAAACTTGGAACGAGCCAAAAAAGCCGGAATTTTTTTATCAAGTTAGTCCTTGACTTCCCTTGACTGTGCGCCGAAATATTGTGGATATAGACAAAGTATGCCTAGAAAAACTGTTTTCAATTCGGTAAAAACGACCTTATAGGCAAAGCCCGCGATTATTCGCCATCACAGATAGTGGATTAGGGGTTCCTATATAGGCGATACGTGCCCAGTTAACTCCAACTTCAACACTACGCCCTCATCCGCACAGCTGATTCCCCGATAAGAACTCTACGACCGTACAAGTGACGATTTTCATGCTTTTTCGTCCTGCAGCTTCGTTTTTCACTGAAAGGCGGGCCTTGAAGGCGGAGTCTGGAGGCGGAGTCACTGGAGAAAAGGAGGCGTCACTGAACCTATATTGCGCTATAGCGCCCCTCCCTTACAATTTTTTGCCGCGAAACCACAAGGTTGTTTGTCGCGGACCACACTACCCTCTCAATGCCATATTTCCAACTTCTATACCTGATCGCAGACCGTACCTTTGAGCAAACACAGAAGTACACGAAATCTAGCTTCCGACACCCAGGGCCAGCATCCGGATGACAAAATAACAGAGTAAAAGTCTTCACCCCAGCCCCATCAGGCATCTTTGAGGTGACTTGAAGCATGAGTCAAAGGAAAGAGGACCACCAACACTGATGAACAAATCCATGCATTTCAAGGAATTTGGAGTTGAATATCCGTGGATACCCCTGAAGCTCCTGTGGAGTCGATTCCACGGATGATGAAGGCTCTAATCAAGTCCAGTAGTAAGCAAACCAAATTCAGAGCGCTGAATAGTTTTTCTTGTTGAATTCCCGCTATCTGCTCACCTTTCCATTGTATTGCTGTTGAATAAGAGCTTCAGAACTGTTTGGAAGGAAGAGCTTCAGAACTGTTTGAAACACGGTTTTTGGCCTGTTCCAAGTTTTTCTTTTCCGCAGGTGTAGATAAGACACGAGATGGGAGGGGCAATTATACCAGAGGGGTATCTTTTCGACAGCGGTTGTATTGCAAGTTATTTTCCCCACGACAGCACCGTGGCTTCCCTAAAGCAGCAGTAGAAGAATAGTGCCGATTTATCCAAACAGCAAACTTACATGCAAGCGCACGAACTCTTTTCCCAAGGCTCCACCTGGGTCAATGGAGAAAAGACATCGTGAAGCGAGCACTCACCTTTGAAAATTGGCCAATGTGTCGATAAAATTAATGGTGGAATTTCGGCTAAAGTCGAATAATGGCATATCATTTGGACATTCCATACTTCACACGCGACATGAGTGTGGCATTTAGCTAAAAATCGATAGATACATTCTGGCTTTGGTAAATAGGAGAGTAATCTCGGCTGCCACGAAACACATCAAAATTGAAACACGAGCAAATTGGCTATGAAAAAGCAATAATGGAGTAGAAATGGAGCGATTGTGAGGTAATCCAGAAAATTCAGTTTTCGCAGCAGAAATAAATGAGAGCTATGAAAACTTTTCATGCATATTGGTAGAAAATACAGGAGCAGGTGAGTTCATTCCACACATCCTGACACCGCTCTTCCCTCCTCCCTGCCCCCTCGGACTGTGGCGATTTCAACTGCACAAAATGATTGCCTCCTCAATTCCTTGCGGGCTGAATTCGCATCTACCTGCTAGTATGATGCTGAATAGGAGTCGAATACGCGAGACATCATGAAACGGTTATATCCTACTTCTACATAATAATTCAAAGGAATATTTGTGTTCGGAATTCCTAGCAAAAAGGACGTTTTTGGCTTGGGAGGGCATTCAGCACGTTCGTTATTTCCTTTTGCTAGTTCCTGTTGATTTACAGGTCTCACCTTGGTTAAACCTGTACACACTTGTCAGGTGTAAAGAAAGCTCTTTACTGCATAGCTTTACAGGAGCTCACAGCTCTCCACAAGAGGCACTGGCGGTAACCAGTGGAAGCCAGCAAAGTGCCCCCATCCAGGCAAACCGCGCTCAAGGTTCATAGACCTGCTGGAAGTGAAAGAATTTGAAAAGTCGTCTCTGCGAACATTAGAAAGTCATATGTGCAATATTTGAAAAGGAAATGGGCTATGTCAATGTGCAAAATAGCATTGTCGGTAGAGTCAGGGACACCCAGACGCGGCTCAATTATCGGCTGAGGCGGAGCTCATGAATCAGCTATAGTGCTTTGAAATCAGTTTTTTATTCTGGACGTGGAACGGCTGCAAAGTGCAGAATGATGCAGAAATGTCACATTGGTGCGAAGCAGTGCAGTATTCAAAGCAGCCCCACAAAAGGAGACCGGATTAAATTGATAGCTGAAGACAAATATTTTGAATGCAGTCGTCCCGTAGTTTCAAAGTTCCCGAACAGGATGAAGCACGTGTTGTCAGAAACCCATGAAGGAGTTGTCTTTGGCAGCTCAGAGGGGAGGAGGGGGTCTATATTGATGAACATGCAAATAAAACTATTGTAGTTTTCCGAACAATTTGGTTCTTGTTAGTCTGCACGTCGTGCAAGCGCTTTACGAAAGTTGGACCGTTTCAACCCACTCAACGTGAGGGCGATTGCA